ATTGAGCTCAGCAGTTCGAAACCAGCCTGAGCAAGAGCGAGACCCCGTCTCTACTAAAAATAGAAAGAAATTAATTGGACAACTAAAAATATATATAGAAAAAATTAGCCGGGCATGGTGGCACATGCCTGTAGTCCCAGCTACTCGGGAGGCTGAGGCAGAAGGATCGCTTGAGCCCAGGAGTTTGAGGTTGCTGTGAGCTAGGCTGACGCCACGGCACTCTAGCCTGGGCAACACAGTGAGACTCTGTCTCAAAAAAAAAAAATCCTCCTAAATAGGCAGGGCACTGTGGCTCACACCTGTAATCCTAGCACTCTAGGAGGCTAAGGTGAGAGGATCACTTGAGGTCAGAAGTTCAAGACCATCATGGCTTATCTTCTGATGCTGGGAAAATAATAAAAAAAAAAAAAAAAAAAGGAAGTACAAGACCAGCCTGAATCAGAGCAAGACCCCGTCTCCACTAAAATTAGAAAGAATTAGCCAGGTGTGGTGGTGTACACCTGTAGTCCCAGCTACTTGGGAGGCTGAGGCAGAAGGATGGCTAGAGCCCAGGAGTTGGAGGCTGCAGTGAGCTATGATCCTGCCACTGCACTCAGGCCTGGGTGACAGATTAAGACCTTGTTTCTAAAAAAAAGAAAAAAAAATTTGCTCACAGGGTACTAAGTATTAAAGAAATAAAACATTTCAATAAAGCCAGAGTCCCCTTTCATCACTCCCCACAAGCACTGTTCCCTATCCTGCCCTGCCCACTCAGGCAGTTGCCACCCTCACACCAAGCAGTATTTTCCCTCCAGTACTTATACACATTTTATATGGGGATATGTCTATTTACATTCAATATAAAGTTTGGTGCCAGACACAGTGGCACACCTGTAGTCCCAGCTACTCAGGAAGCTGAGGTGGGAGGATCGCTTGAGCACAGGAGTTCTGGGTTGTAACGCCAATCAGGTGTCCGCACTAAGTTCAGCATCAATATGGTGACCTCCTGGGAGTGGGAGACCACCAGGTTGCCTAAGGAGGTGAACCAGCCCAAGTCAGAAATGGAGCGGGTCAAAACTCTCATGCTGATCAGTAGTGGGATCTCGCCTGTGAATAGCCACTGCACTCCAGCCTGGGCAACATAGTGAGACCCCATCTCAAAAAATAAATAAATAAATAAAATTAAAATAAAATAAAATAAAAATAAAAAATAAAGTTTGGTTAGTGCAGTTTTAGTTGGTTTCACAGTGTTCAGAGTGCTGGACATTTTTCCCCGTGAAACATTGTTCTTGAACTGTATCATTATTCATACAGATCCAGCTAATTCTTTGTTGCATGCATAGAGCTATTCCTTCCTATCATTGTAACACACGTTGGTCATCTATTTCCTGGGAGCCCAGCCTGGCTTATTTCCTACGTTTTTGCTAACATAAACTATTATATGTTGCAATGAATATGTGTGTAACACCTGCCTGCCTGTACTTCCAAGTGAGTTTCTACCTTGGAGACTTCTATGATGCTTGGCTTTTTGTACTGAGGATGTATTACTCTTGTCATCAGAAAATTCAATATAGGGAGACCCTTTCTTCATTGCCTTTTTGTCGATTCTCTCTTTAGTTTCTGAGTGCTGTGGTCAAGAGACTAAGAATAAAGATACAAGTTTCATTCACCCCAAACTCCCATTCAACTTTACCACAACCTAGTTCACTCCTTCAGGAAACAAACTATAAATATAACAGCACCTACATCAAATGCAGTTTTATCACCATTATAATGTAAGCTCAAAGTATCTCATTTAAGGCTGCAATAAATATGGAGGCACCAGTGGCCATGAGCCAGGTACTGCCTAGGGCTGAATAAGCATCACCCTGTTTGGTCCTCACAGCAACTCTATGATGTCGATGGGATTTTACCCCATTTCACAGATGAGGCTGCTGAGGCAGAGTCTACCCTTGCACACACTTCTCTTCTTCCCTAATTTACTTTTCTCCATAGCACTAATCACCTTGTGCCATACTATGCACGTCACTTATCTACCTTTCTCCACCTCCTAGGATGCAGAGGGGATTCTGGTCTACTTTGTTCATTGGCACTGGGAATGAACAGGAAATGTCTGTTGAATTAATGAACCTCCCCAAGGTCTCATTAACTACTGAGTGGCACACACTCTGAAATGGTGTCTCTCAACATTCTCTTCTTTGTTATTATTGACAAATATGAATTGGTGATGTTGAAGATGAAATTATTAGCCATGCCCTAGCCAGAGGGATTACTTTGCTAAAACTATAAGTCCCTTGGGTTTTCCTTTGAGTTGTCTTTCCAGACCTTAATTACTCTCCAAGTCACAGAGGAAAAATGAATAAAAATTGAAAATCAGTTTCATTGACACAGGTGTGTCCCCGAAACTTGCCAAGGATGAGAAATGTCACTCTTCCAGAAGCCTGACCGGCATCAGTTCCCCCTACAGGTCCCTGCTGGGGGAAGGAGAACTCATCCCAGAATCTTTCTAACCCAACCAAGAAGTTTACCTACCCTGTGGCCCCTCCCAAGACAAGTAGAGGCAAGAAGACACCAGGAAGGTGGGCTAAACCACTCCACGAAACCTCTTTTGGGTTGAGAAATATGAGAAAGTGTCTGTCTCCCCAACCGCTACCCCCATCTAGGTGAAACTGACCGACTTGGAAAGCAACTTCCTCCCAGGAACCCACTTCAAATGCCCTTGAGAGAGAAAACCCAGCACCCGCAGAAGCAACTTCGAAGCCAACCTAGTAGCTCCTTTTTGAGAAACTGACTCCAACAGTTCACTGAACTTTAAGGAACCAATAACCTCCCAGGGAAACGTCCAAGAATCTAGTTTGAACCCAGAGCCCCTGGTAAGAGGCCTTGGCACTCCTGCCAGTGGAGTCTGCAACAAGGCAACACTGGAAACAGTCCAAGGAGCTTTAAGAGGGGCCAGTTCCAGCACGGTGCTGCCACAGAGTGGAATGCTTTGCAGTCCTTGGAAAGAATTAAAGAATTAAATAAGAATGCACTCAGAGTGATAATCCAGACACATTATTCAACGAGAGAAAGCTTCAGAACGAAAGTGGTAGCATCTCATTTATGTAGAAAAAAAAAATTCTGGTGCATTTGCTCACTCGCGCTCTCTTGTTCTTTCTTCCTCCTGCACTCTCACACTCTAATAAGTGCAAACAAAGTGTCTGCAAGATTACATTCCCACCTGTTAAGACTGCTCTTGGAGGGACCGCAGTGGGGTCTGCAGAGAGTTTGATGTCAGTACTTTGTATGTTTATGCCCAGAGCATGTGTTACTTTTAAGATCTCAGACAATCTTACAAAGAAAACAGCTGTAGGAAGAATTCACTCTGCCCCTCCAGCTCACACTCCCCGAGTAAATCTGGAGAACAGGACGTGTTATGCACCAGGCCTGGGTGCACACTTGGACCCAGATACCTCACCTCTACATGAGGACAAAGGATGAAGATCTTAATCAGATTCTGTGGCCACAAGGGTTCAGAGTGCTTGGCGCCTCTCCCTTGAGGACACTTCTGCTAGATCTTTTTGATGTTCAGTCTTCCAAGCATGAACTCCTAGGTTAAACAGTCTACCAAAGGAGAAACAGCTGCTGCAGTTTTGGTTTGCGTTATGCAAAGGACATTTTATCTTTTTTTATTCTCTTGAAAATTACCTTTGTAACATTCCTTAAAATCACTCAGATGTGGCTTTACCGGTCACCTGTGTCAAATCTGCAACACTCAGGGCCAGACGAGCAGGTGTACTGTTGAAAGCAGCGGGCTAGGAGCAGGCTCCACAGCATCCTGAATCAGCAATAACCACAGAGCATCGGTGGTCCCTTTATTCCCCCCCAAAGTTGCAACATACTGTGGAGTGTTCTAGTTAGGGGCTTATTCTTGGGAGTCTAGATGTGAACCCTAATTTTGCCACTGACTTTGGTCTTTGGGCAAGTCACTAAACCTCTTTCATCTGTAAAATGAACATAATTACAGTCCTTACCTCAGGAGGCTGTTGTAAGGATTACATTAAACAATGAAACAGGTAGATGCTTAGAACAGCGCCAAGGGCAAAGGCTGTGCACAGAGGACAGGAGCTGTTATTAACTATTAAATGTCTGATTGATGAGGGCCTGTGCTAGCCAGACACGTGACCTCCGACCTCCCCTTCCCATTTTACAGAAGAAAAAACTGAAGCTCAGAGAACAGCAGCCAATTGCACTTGTTGCACAAACAAAATGAACTCTTTAATAACCAATTCCCCTTTCTGTGAATGCCAGCACTTTACCCAAACTCAAAGAGCAAAAAAGTACATTCCAAAGTCTTGATTGAGCAAGAAATCGGCCACAGGAATGGGTTTTATTCTGGAAAGCCCCTTCCTGGTTTGGTCAAAGAGAGCCAGCTTCGGAAGCGGTGGAACCATTTGGGACCCACACCCTGGAGGCCAGGCTCCTGGGCCTCTTCCCGGTTCCCAGCCAAGGAAGCAGCCTTGGCCTCTGCCTTAGTGAACTGGTGCATCTCGGCTGGAAATTACCTCTCCTTTCCTCCTTTTTCCTTTTGAACTTCTTGGCCGAGGGCGTGAGTTAGGGGGAAAGGAAATGATCAAGGAAAACACAAAAGTTCCTGCAAAGAGAGACTTAGACGGACGTCTCTGGGTGGGTGATGGTGGACACCCTGCGCAGGCAGGATCTCCTGGGGGAGACCAAGAGGCCGGAAAGGCAAGGACCGTTGGGGGAGGACGCAACCCCGGAGTCGCCGCTGGAAAACCGAGCGAGGCTGGACTAAGACGAATGAGAGTCACAGGGATCGGATAAAGGAACCGGGGCTGTCAGAGGCGGCGAAAGGGCCAAAATACCCGCAAGACGAAAAAGGGAAGGCGTGCGTAAAAACCAACCGCAGCAAACCTTTCGAGCCCCAAGTGGGTAAACTGAGGCCGACGGCGGCGCGGGGCCTGCGGAGTCTCAGGCCAAAGAACAAAGCGCGGGCCGGGGCGGCGGGGAGGGGGTCTCACCTTGTTGTAGAAGATCTCGGACTGCTGGTTCGGGGCCGGCACGGCCTGGGTGGCGGCGGCCGACAGGAGGCGGTGGCCCAGGCGGGGCCCGAGGGTGGCTGCGGCGCGCAACATGCTGCAGCTAGGCCGGCGGTGCAGACCCGAGTGCCCGGAGGACGCGTGAGCGGGGCGGGCTGGGGCTCCTGCGCCGCGGTCTCTCCCCGCCCCCCAAACCCCCGCGGCCGCCAATGGGCAGGCGGGGCGGGGCGCGGGGCGGGCCACCGCCTGCCACCCTCCGGCCAGGGCGTGCTGCTGGCCAGTGGGGTGAGTGGGGGAGGGCGTCGGAGCCCCTCCACGCGCCGTCACCAACCCTGGGAAGGACCCGACCTGGGGAATTCAGCTCGCATCCAGGGGTGAGAACCTGTGGCCTTGGGGCCACGTGTGGCTCTCCAGATCCTTGAGTGCAGCCTTTTGACTGAATCCAAATTTTACAGAACAAATCCTTTCATTTGTATTTATACATTTCTGTTCATCTTTTATATTTTTACTTTATTTTTAAAATGCATGTATTTAAAATACCAAAGAATAAAATAAGTTTCCAC